CTTAACTCGTTATTTTTCAATTCTTATGCTTTCATGATAATGTTGTTATATTATTGTTATTAAATTGGGTGCTCGTAAAATATGAGAATTTATCTTTGCCTATTTAGTAATAAAAGCCGTTTATCATCTTTATAGAATTATATTTTCAACTTTTACCTATTACCAACGATCAAACTAGCTCAAAGTGCTCTTTCCATAAGGTATAATTATGCATTTTATGTTGTTTATATACTAATCTTGATTAGGCATATTCAAGGTGATATTATGTATTTTACAACCTTCAGGTTCGTGCAAATCGCCAACAAAGTGAGCACCGACTAAATGACTTCATCGAATTTATCAAGCGTACCTCCAACCACTCGTTTTTGAGACATTGTCGAGGCAAACAGTTGCTAGCCATTGAGGCGTCTCGGCCGAATACTAAACATTTCAGACAAAACATACGGAACAATGTCGAATTGGTTACCAGCAGGCCACATGTACGTAATGCTACATCTCTAATAGAGCTAACTAAAGGAGAACAGAAATCCGTGAAACTTTTAGAGGACAAGAAGTATAAAGAGATATTAGCGAAAAGGCCGGGTGAAAAAGAACAGATAGTGCAGCCTATCCGAGATTCAGAAGCTGACAGTGCGTCTTCCGAATCTGCATCTTCCGAGGAAATTCAAAAGAGAGCAAAACCAGCTCTACCTCTTATACAAACCGGATTTTCAAACTCATTTTCCACAAGTGTGACTAGCGAATCTACATCACCATCATCCTATACAGTCTCTTTAGGAACAACCATCTTGACATCAGCTGGCACCAACTCCAGCAAAACCCACAAGAGTAACATTTCATCTAGTAAATCGACGTCTACGCTGGACTCCTTAAAAAGTTCAAAGGCCAGCTCCACAGGATCCAGGTTGTTACTGGTCAACATAGGTCACAATGATGAATGCGAAGCGAAAGGTTTGACGAAGATCACCCAAAAAGAAATCGGCACCACCAAAATGACTAAAGCTGAAATTACAAATCCTGGTGCTAAGAGTGATTTTAGACAGGATCAATATAAGAACAAACCCACTTTCCACATTACGGAACCGTCTAGGCTAAATACAACGGTAATTTTTATGTGCTTACTTTTCGATTTCCCTATCCCAGCTGAACACCTTCATTTTATACGCTTTTATATAGTGGCGCCATTTGTGAGGTTAATGTCACAATGTAAAGTAATATTTATTCTCTATCATGAGAGAATTATCAGGAAATATGGGGGGATTAAAACCAGTGAGGAAATAATGGAGAAAGAAATAGCTACCACAACTGAAATAAAACACAGGAAGACACTTATATTTTGCCAATTTTGACACATGAACAGGAAAATATAGTTATATATATATATATATTATATATATTATATAAAACAAATACATATATTATATATTTTTACGGAATTCATGAATCTTAGTTAATCTTAATCTGCTTAATATAATTTTTTTAGTTCAGAAGAAAAATAAAACAGTTATTTCAAGGAATCACAGGAAGATGGTAATTTTAATACATTGTATCAGAGGTTAGAGGATGTAACTCCCTGCCTGAACGAGATCAAATTTTTTAGTATAGCACGAAAAATGTTTTTTTACTTAAACATAATTTGAACTTTTCCTGGTATTAACCAATGGGTACAAGTGAAAATAAATCGGACCATTGTAATTAATATTTTCGGACAGTTGAACTAACGAGTATTTTATTAATTTTATAAAATTGGAGGAGGATAGGCTACTATTTCTGGATGTCCTATCAAGTAAGGAAAGCAATTAGTTTGGCCTAGATATGTCCAGGAAACTCCCAAATGCATGCTTCCCTCTTAATTTCTTTCCAAATCCCACATACGGTGTCAAAGTAAGGGTTACGAAATCGATTATAATAAGGAATCTGCGTTTACCTGGCGTAAATATCTGAGACGTGGATATAAGAATATTGAGATGTGCAGGCAGGTCAGGATAAGTAAGAATATCTCGTTTCGTGAGAATGTCACACTATTTGCGGCTTTTATCACATATAAAGTCATCTAATTGGTTCCGTCAGGTTGAAAAAGCTTCAAAAATTGTTTTTTTTAATTTGCATTTTTCTTCGCTTCTCAATTTAATATAACAGCTAAGGATATCCAAAGAGTATTAAAAACCAAATGTATATTATAGGCAATGCGATAGAGTATATGATGCATTATCAGCTGCCATTTGGTCAACTTGCTGTGTAAAGGTTGTTAAGCAAATATTGCGATTGATTTTCGGTCCATGGGCTGCAATAAAGATGTCGTTTTCAATAAAAAATATTATTTTTTCATTATCACACAAATCTATCCATGTAATACTTTTATTTATAGAAGTGGCTTTCGACCCCATTAAAATGGTGTCGCTTCATCTTTTACCTTTATTAAATCAGCGCGGTTTGAAATATTTTATGCACATACTTTCATTTATTCTAACATTTCTGCCAATTGTGAAATTGCCATGACCACGTTTATGTCTTTATAGTAGATCAACTCTTTGTTTTAATCTAAGCATCAATCGCTTTTTTTCACCTACAAAAATCACTCTATAACTCTTACCTTTGCTCATATTTGCCAGATGGATGCGATATGATTTTTGATACCTTTACATGACAAGTAGCAATGTATGCATAAAGAGTAATGGTACAACGATACCTGATTCAACTGCTCTATAATTTTGGTCGGTATAATTTAGATAGATTACTATACTCACTTTCTAATGTAGAAAGGTAGGCAAACTAGCGACTATATAAAAAAACGAACAATTTTCTAGTTTATACCTTATTTTAGAGAATTTTCGCAAAGTATTTTTAGTTCAGAGTCTTAACAAGTTAGCTGCTTAAAGGAGATGTTTATTCGAAGAGGTGCCGGCCAACCCATTCAGAAGAGACTATTTTAACGCACAAACTTTGAACTAGCCGTACGTGCTGCTGCTTCTTCTGTTATACAGTTCATAAGATATATTAAATACTTAGTGAATAATTACTATAATAATTTATACGAATGCTACTAATAATAATAATTTGTACTAATACTATTGCTAATAATGATTCATATAATAGCACTTAATAACTAGAGACTAAGTGCGAAATGCTAAAGTGAAGAGTAAAAGTGAAAAAAGCAGCGTTTGGTAAGTATGCTAGGACAAAGCTGTGCTGTATTAAAGATATAAACGTGCTTATAGCAGCTATAAAATTAGCAGAGTTGTTGGAATGCATCTAAGAAACGATACGGAATTGTTTAAAATATGCTAATAAAAATAGGGAAAAATATAAAGCGGAATCAACTTTATGAGGTTTAAAGACCCTCCTTGTGAATGATAGATTTGTGTAAGAATGTAAAGGTAAAGTTTTTAAGTAAACATGACATCTTTATTTCTGACTATGGAAAATCTCATTATTTAAAGCATTCTACATAAGAACAACTTTTGCACAGGTAATAGCTCAAGCAACAGGTGAGGATACTATCTATAATGGTTTCGTTTGCTTTTGTAGTTGACACTATTCTTGTAAAATTGATAAAAACTTTACTATTTTTAATGGATTGAATGAAGCCATTTATATTTTCCCATATGTTGTAATTGCTTCTAATGGTACGATCTTGAATAATACGACATTTTATGATCAAACGCTAGTTTATCTACGTAAAGAACTACCTGTGACCGTTCTATATCCTATTTCTGCATCGAATTTACTCATATGCATTCATACAGGTTAAGTAGGAATAACCCAGCCAAATGAGTAGATTAGGTATAAGAAGTACGTATGAGGTAACCTTTTCTCAATGTTTTGTACATTTGAACATCTAAACCTAGACTATGGTTTCTCGTTCTGACAATGTTTGTCCCATCTCACCATGTATTCATCGAGATCACATAACGAATACCGTCCAACCAGATATCTTTTCAAAAAAGAAACTAGAGTCACTTTGCCTTAATAAGGGAGTATTCAAAATACAGCATTAATTTTTATTCGAAAGTATGAAGAACAAGATTGTGTAGCCTTTGGTATGGCCGAAGTCTCCTTTCCATGTATTGATGCGGGTTGACCTCATTTGCGCAACGTGCTTT